AAAAGAGTGTTAATGATATTTATTAGCCGTGTTTCTATATACATTGTCAGTACCGAAAATCTATATATACATCTATATATATATCTATATATCTATATAACATGTGACGTAATATAGATTTTCAGTACTGTCAGTGTACAGAACACGGCCTATATAAAAACAAAACATTATACCAAATCACGCTAAAAGTATCTCAGAAAAATTTATAATACACATATACATATATAAATTATAAAATCTTTATATTCATGAATATCATTTAAAGATAAAGAAAATAAAAGTAAAAAGGCTAAGTTAGACTCACATCGATAGCTCTTTTGATGGCGGCACATAATGCCCAGAATCCTGTGTAATTATTAACTGTCCATTGTTTAGTACTATTTGGTATCCAGAGCGAAAAATTTAACGTATGCAATAAAAATAGCCAATCCCCAGCTTTAATATCGAAGAAAGAAGGATAGAGCTTGGGTAATTGTCGGGTACATGATGTATACTTATTATCAGACATGAACTCTATCACCTATTAAAATATATTGTTCAACAGGACTTGCTTTGTGATACAAATTTTAATTGATTGCAGAATTTTATTTGATTTATATTTTTTAAAATAAATTATATTATATTCCATAATATATGAAATGTGAGATTATTTGATTTCCTGGCACAATTTATATTTAAAGTCAAAAGGAATGTAAAGATATTATCGAATAATAAAATATAAAGTACAAATAAAAGGAATAAGTCAAAGATGCAAAGTATAAATGGATTTTTATATAATTAAGCTTTCCAAAATAATTGATTTTAAATTATAATAATTAAAATACGTTTTCCTTTGTACATGTTCACTTCTTTATTTAAAATCGTCAGTTAATTTAAAATAAACTATCGCAAGATAATAATCGAAAAATTCGTAAAATTTATAAAATAAAAATTTTGTTCTAGAAATTTTGATTAATTTTATTTCTCATTACATTGCAACGTTAAAATTTAATTATATTTTCAAATTTTGCATTTAATGTAACTTCTGCTCTCTCTCTCTCTCTCTCTCTCTCTCTCTCTCTCTCTCATCTCATCTCTATCTTTCGTTCGCTTTCTTTGAAGAATCACGAAAAAATTATTAACAATCCTCGATTATTTTAAATTTTCAAAAAAAGATAAAGGAAAAAAGATCAAACCTCTTCCGCTAATTTTTTCACTCCATGTTTGTCAATAATTACGTTCAATCCTGTTTCTTTTGCTATAGTTTCTTCTGTTGAACACGGAATAATAGGAAAGGTAGATGCAATCATGACGTTAAGTTATATTGAACCTACAATTCTCAAGTATTGACAGCGACTATTTCGACCGTAATTACCTTTTACAGCTGTGATGGAAAATAAACATGACATAATAACAATAAGATTCTTGATTATACGAAGAAATCCTTCATTCGTGATATCCTATGTTATATGACTTGTTTAGTTATTTTGAAAAATTATGCTAAGTTACTCTTTTGCGTTTACTTTTTTTACATATTTTAAAATCTTTTTTACTTTCCGTTTCTCTTTTTTCTAGTACCTAAAATTTTACATACAAGAATATAAAAAGACTTGTTTTCTTTTTACATATACAGAGTTATCTACTTAGATCGAATATCTTGAATATTTCGATTATTTTTGTTAATACGAAAAAATGTTTCAAATGAAAGCGAAACGATTTTGAGAGGTACGTGTTATCACGTCGCAAAAAAAAGGATTATCGAAAGAGTTAAACTTGCACGTTATAGAAAGAAATAATAATGTTAGATATTACTTTTAATTTAGATAATGTAATATATATTACGGAAATGTTTTATATTTAAAAAAGAGATAACATTATTATTAAAATTAAACTTTAATTATAATAATCATACAAGTATATATGGAAATGGGAAAATTTTTATAAAAATAATGTAATTTTTGTATTCGCTACAAGCAAAAGTAATACTGAAATTCTTTATATATACGTATATACGTCAGTGCTTAATAAAATTAACTTCCTAAAAATATTAGAAGTCAACATTTTTTAAATTATATATATATATTATCATTTTGCAATTTTTGCAATAATTAACGAGATATTAATTACTAAAAATCGCTGAATATTGATTGATAATTTTTTATTTAAACACAATCAATCAATTTTACAGAAAAACAGCGAGAGACAAAAATTATTTATTTTTTTCTCATAAAATTCTGAGAATGTTTTAACCTTATTTTCTCATGTTGGTAAAAACCTATAAATTAGAAAACGCAGTACTAAAAATTAATTAAAAAATTCTGAAAAAATTCTTAGAGTTCTATGAGAAGAAAATAAACAATTGCTTTTCATAAAGTTTTTCTGTAAAGTTGACAGTATTTGAGTAAAAAATGATTGAAGATCAATATTCGGCAATTGTAAGTAATTAATATCTTCTTAATTATTGTAAAAATGGCAAAATGGTAGAAGACTTTTCGACTCAGTTTATCTGTTCTACAAGCGCTTGTCAAAACTTATCAGACACCCTGTATAATTATTATGTTTATAATTAGTAATGATGAATCCCAATATCTAAAAACAGGACACAAAAAATGCCTAAAAGACGTTTTAAAAACATTTGAAAAATGCCTAAAAGACGTTTTAGAAACATTTGTTAAAAGATTCAAAATACATATATCTTATGTCTCGATTTTGAACTTTTTTGTTATCTGGAACATTATTGTAATATATGTAACTAATAATATATTATTTATATAAATAAATGATTAGTTATAATTATGCATTTTTTAATTATACATTTTTTAATTATACATTTAATTATATATTAGTTATGTATATTACAAATACTTATTTAAACATTACAAATACTTTTGTTTATATCAGAATGCTAAAAGAATCTTTTCTTTTAAGAAAAATCAATCTTAATTGAGAAATATCAAAATTGATCGTGTCAGGTTTCCTTTCCATTATTTTGAAACTGTGTTTATGAATAAAACGTGAGAAAATAGTATTATCTAAAGTATTGTGTATATAATATTATCCTAATAGCTCTCAGTGTAGACTTTGCATAATACATTCTTCTTCAATTGCTGATTATGTAATTGTAGATAGTCCCACAGAAAGTTGTCAATCAGACACGTACAATCGAAATCTGGCAATTTTAATGCGGGTATTTGTTTTACGAATGTATCTTGCTTCAATGTTTCTATCAACATTTGATGCAAATATCTTATTATCATAAGTGAACAACAGCGAATCTCTATTTCTTCTTTGGTTCCATGGAAAATGAATTCTACAAGAAAACACAACGTGTTTTATTATATATGATAAATACAATAAATCCTCCACATAGAAAATTTGCGAAAAAAGTGTATCTCTTAACAAAAAGTATCTCTTACATGTAAACATTTCTCTTACTGTATTAATTATGATATTTCTATAAAATATCATAATTAATACAGTAAGAGAAATATAATAGATAAATATTGAAAACGACGGACTCACCTCCAATGACTTCGACCTTGACATATATTGAGGGGCTCCGCCCCTCTCCCTGCATCTTACCCCGATTTAATCCTAATCTAACTCAACTTAATCCTTACCTGATTGTGAGATGGACGTAGGTTCACACGCGTAGAAAGTCACACACCCCCGTGATGGAGGGAGGGGGGAGGGAGATGAGGATATTGTTTTTTGTGATAATTATAATTTAAAATATACAATTAACTATACATTTATATTGTCAACTTTATTTGTTAACTTGATAACTTGAACGAATGACGGGCTAAAATCTTCCGAGGATCACGCAGAATCTTGACAATATATATCATTAGAGGTGGTTCGTTGTTTCCAATATTTACTTATAATATAATATAATAAATAGAAAGAGTATGATAATATAATATAACATCAAAAATGTTAAAACAAAAATAAATTACACATCGAGTGAAATTAATAATCTGAATAAATTTCCCTTTTTAAACAAGAAGAGTGATAGAAGCAGAAAGACAATCTATTTCATGGTAAATAATTATTTATATTCTGTAATGTAACTCAAATTATTGCAATATATGTACACATAGGATATTTCTTAGGCAGTAAATTCGTTTAAAGGATATAATTTTTATATATTAAATAAAATATTCAGAAAATGGAGGATAACTTATTGATAAAAAGTGATAAATGCTTTACCCTCTTTTTTGAGTTCATCCAAGAATTTTTTACTGTAAACAAGAACATTGAAATGATCGAAAATCTGAACAACACGATAATCAACAAATATAGTAGAATGCTTCATTTCTTCTATTTCAATCCTAAGTTCATCTTCTTCGTCGTCAAAATAGTTCCATATATCGGTAACTAATGTCCAAGCCTTAGTGAACAAACAAACTGAAAGAAAGTTTATGAAAATCTCATTATATATATTACGAAATTATATATATAATTATAATGCTCTCTAAAACCTTTAGAGTAAATTTCATATTAAATAGTGAAACCTCACTCTCGAAGATTGAAAATTGAGTTATTTTTTTTAAATGGGTCAATTTTCTCTCTTTTAAAATGAGAGTCCACTTCAAATAATTTAGAGAGTGTACATCACAAATGTAATATATTATTTAATAATTGATTACAGAAATAATGCGCAGCATTATAATTATATAGCATTCATCAATCAATAAAAACAATTTGTATTTGGAAGATTTTATAGAGAAATTTGAGGCTGCGGCAAAAAAAAAGCAGAAATAGTAAGATATAAGCGATAAGCAAATCAACATTTTGCTATATTCCTTATTGCTTTACGTTCTTTATTTGGCTGATTATTTCGTTTACTACTTACTACATCTTACTGTTTTACGTTTTTCTATGTTTGTATGTTATATGCTTTTATGAACTTCGCATTCTAATATATATAATAATTAAAATGACTTGTGTCATATAAAAGCATTCTTGTTGATCTCTATCTAAAAATTTTTTGCTTATCATAATATATGCCCCTTCGAATAGAATAAAATCTCTTGTAGTATTATCTCATATCATTAAAAACAATGAAGATATATATCTTAAACGATCAAGTTACAGGAATCGCATATTCTTCATCATATTAACCGATAATAAATACCTGATCGATCATGATATAGTACTACGTCATGATATGACGGAAATTTATCATGAATTGTGACCATCAACTTAATGGCATCCTGTTTACATGATTTGATACAATTTGCGAAAGTACCTATAACAAAACAAAATCTTATCAATCAGTTAAATATGTAAGATTTATCAATTAAAACAGTATATTTTTTCAATATAACTTATCCAAGACCTCTTCCTTATTTTAAATCATCCTAGCGAAAATGCGAAAAAAACGAAAAAGCGTTTAAGTTAAATAAGGGAAAAAAAACAGAAGTCACATTCTAAACAATCTAAACATCCAGCAAATGTTAAATAGCAATTGTATAATTGTTAGTTGTAATTTCTCATTCAACATATATATTATATTACAGTTATATTGTTAAATAGGAAATTAACAATTTCATAACTAACAATTATGTAACTATTACTTAATGTTAAAAAGTTTCTAGGAAATAAAAAGTAAAAAATTTTTAGGAATTCATAATGATTGCATAACGAGTTACAGAATAAAGGTCTTGCAGTGGAATTTTTTAACTCATTATATAGTTGTTATGAGCACATAACGATTGTATAACAAGTATAGAATTTCGCTACTGAACGAATTATATACATATGTATTGTTCATTCAAATGAACGAAAATGGTACAAATTTGTATACATAAAAATATATATGTAAAAATATATATATAAAAAATATACATGATATGAAATATTGTCATGTAATGATTTATACCATCATAGTGGTCCAACAAAACCTTTCCAACTTCATGCAAAATTGTTAATCTTTGAGATGTGCGTGGCATAGTAATGTTGTTATCACCCTGGAAAATCTGTATCATTTCGACTATAGATAGCGTTGTATAAAATTTAGGATCCCATATTGGTTTTCCATTCTAACGCAAAAAGATTAATTACATATTAAATCAATTATTAATATATTTAATTAAAAATAAAAAATTATAGCGGTGTTTAGATAGATTTAAAAAATCAATATAATATAAGTTATATATTTAATAAGATAATGGAGATAGAGTTTATCACAGACTACTGTTCACATTGTATTATAAATATCCGTTATATTAATTTACGATTTTCAATAAAATTAAAATGGAACGATTTACAGAATAAGAATCATACGATTATTACATTTTGACTTTATACCTATTTTGCATGCTTGCATAAAACATACACACACAAATAAATAAATATATATAAATAAGCTTAAGTAAGCTTTAAGCCTAAGTAATAAGCCTAAGTAAGCTTTAAGATTTAGTATATGATATTAGAGTGTAGTGTAAACAACAAATTTTCTTATTGTATTGAAAATTTTGTGCCAACAAAACGACATTTGCGGCAAATTTTGTTGCATTATTTTATTTTAAAGAAAACTATTGCTGAAAGTCATCGTTTGCTTCTACAACTATATACTTTATTTTAGATATTACAATAATCTTTTAGATATTACAATAATCTAAAAATAGTATAGAAGTAATGGTACTGGAACACTTGTATTTTTTAATGGTTTATTTTATCAAACTTGTATTTTTTTTAATGGTTTATTTTATCAAACAAATGAAGGAAAAGACGATAAAATTTACATACGCGTACCCCATTAAAATATCAATAATTTTGTGCACGATTATAAATTTAAATATGCTGTGAGAAAATAGAACTAATATGTTCTAAATTAACGACGTGAATGGTTACTTAGTACCTCATAAATCAATGCGCATTATGATTAGAATTAAAAGAATTACGTAAGTATTGTGTTTCTCTACATATAATGTATATATCTACATGTATTTAACCTATGTAATGAAATATTTGAATAAATTTTTTATTTATAATCTTTAATATTTTTAATGCAAATTTCATGTTATGCTACAAATTAGAAATAAATTAGAGAAGATTTTGTATTTACATTTTATATTTATTTATTTATATATATTCTACATTCTATATATTTTTATTTGTGTGTGTGTGTGTGTGTGTGTGTGTGTGTGTGTGGACAGAATTAAATTTTTAATGTTAATAAATTAATTCGTATTTAAACTTTAGACCAATTTTTTTAATAATATGCGAAATTAAAAATGTTAACATTAAGATTGATTCATTTCTCCTTCCGATATGACAATATAAATGAATTTATCAAACTTCTCAGATTTAAATATTATTCATTAATTAATAGTTCTTACTTTCATATATTTATAAGTTATATATATTTTGTATACAATATGTATATAAATATATATAAAAAATAAAATACAAATATATAAAAGATAACAGATTAGAGTTGAGAATTATTCCTTGAAACAGGGATTTAGAACGGCTCGCTGAGACCATTCCCAAACCGAAAGGCGCCGTGCCAAAGTTCGGTTTACCGGGATGGAAGATGATGCCTCTAGAGAATAAAATACCGATGATACCTGGACCGAAGAGTGCTTACAACTTTACGCGATGCAAAGTGGGGAAAAAATTATGGAGAATGAATTTAGAATTTAATTTGAGCGATCCTTATTACCATGAAACCAAATTCCTTTATGAACCCTTGCACGACGAGCATCTGTTTAAGTTCTTTTCTAGACCAATTAATCGGAAATTTCTACTGAAAGCCGATCTAATCACAGATAGCATGGACGTGAAGTGTTCGCTGCACGATTATAACGAATACAGAAAATATCTAAGGCAGGTGCATGCTGATCGTATCAAGAGGGAGTTGAAAAAAAGAAATCGGCTCTTTGTCGAGAGGAGAGCCTTACGCTTTGCCGAAGATCAGGCGCGCAAGGAAGCGGAAAGGTATAATTCATAATTGCTACGTGGTAAGAAAAATATCATTTTTAATGTGAAAAATTTCTACTAGCCAAGAAAGAGATATCTCATCATCCTAAATACTTTTTGTTTCGTAATCCTTTTCTTAAATACATAGAATAGAATTTATTACACTTCAGCATACAGTTAAGAGGACTTGGTTTACATATACAGGGTGTTTGATAAGTAATGATAAAACTCTCGCATAGGGCGAACTAAACTGAGTCGAAAAATCCTCTACCATTTTATAATTTTCGCAATAGTTAACAGATATTATATAAATTACTAAAAATCGCCGAATATTGGTTTCCAATAATTTTTTTACTTAAATACTAACAACTTTACAGAAAAACGGTAAAAGATAAAAATTGTTTATTTTCTTCTTATGAAATTGGACAAGAAAAGATTCAGTACCAATTTCACGATGCGAAACAGGTCGATATTCATAATCGATTCTTGCATTTAAGACTGTCTTCCTCCTTATGAATAGTCCATAGATGGAAAGGGCAGAGATTTAGAAAGAGACATTGGCTTTCCATCGAGAGTTTAAATTTAAAACCGGATCAGAATGTAAGAATCAATCAACTACAGTCGAGCATTCCCCTATCGTTCGACTGTAACAGGGGAATATTCGACTGTAGTTGGTTGGTTCTTACATTCTGATCAGGTTTAAACTCTCGGTGGAAACTAGGTCACTGTCCAACTGCACACATCATGTTATCTATCCACTACGAGCGAGTCTCTCAGTTCTCTCGCTCGCGCTCAAAAGCTTTCGAATGCGAGAAGAACGGATGTATTTCACTGTCGCGCTCAGTGACGCCGAACTGAGCCGAACACGGCGTGCTCGGACTTAAATGTGCATCACTGCCATAGAATAAGCATTTCTATGTTCTTTCAGATTAAAAATCCGCCTTATATAATCCATCATCTTATATAATATAATCCATTATCTTATATAATCCATTATCTTATATAATCTATTATCTTTTCTAATTTTTCTTTTTCATTCAATCCCCATATTTTCGTCTCATATGTCATGACACGTACTTTACACTAGATATCTATAAAATCTACCTGAAATCATTCCTGCATATCCTCTTAAACTCTAGACCTTCCTTTCCAGCTTACCTTTTCTGTATAATTCCTGTATATATTCCTCTCTTTATAGTTATCCCTTCTATTTAAAATAAAACCTAAATATTTGAATTCCTGCAAACAGCAAGCGCTCACTCAACTGTCCGTTGAACGCAGCCATTGATGTATCCAGATTTAAAATATGATGAACGCAGCTAATGAGGTGTAACACAGACGAGAGGCCTAACGCAAGAGGAAGATGACAAAGGTGTATGTATTATTAACAGGATTTCTGTTTTATAAATTCAGATTGAAAGAAAGAGAGAAGTTCATTACCGAGAGACAGCATCGCGTGCAGCAACGGTTACTACAAAAGGAACTGAGAACTCGAAAACTGGAGGAGCGAGAGTACAGAACGGCGCGAAGATTGAAATTGTTAAAGCTTCTTAGGCGGGAAGAACGAAGTCTAATAAATATTAAACGTGATGAGCAGACCGAACAGAGGCAAAAATGCAAAATTGTGGCGGAGATCACTCGACATAAAGTAATCGATATATTGGCGGATTGGAAGGAAAAAGACAAGGCACGAAAAAAAGAGAGGGAGGAACGACTAATGAATATCGCACAACAGAAGCAGAGAGACATGGAAGAAAAGTACATACATTATTAAATATATTTAATAATGGAAAACAAAATTTACCATGCGATATTTTTGATAAATACAGAATGATTTAGTTTAGTAATTCTTGTGAACAAGCAGAGTAATCTGAAAAGGAAAAATCTGCAAGATTCTTTTTCTTAAGAAAGACGAATTTCAGATGGACAAAAAAGCGACAGTTCCAGGAAAAGGATATTGCGAAACAAAAAATGTTATTGCAACGTATAGACGTTCGCCGTCAAAAATTCATAGAAGATTATAACAACAAAATAAATAAAAAAACAGCAAAAATGAAAAGTAATGTTATAAGAAAAAATTGAAGAAATAATATTACATTTTGAATTATAAAGTTCTCAATTATAAATTATGCATTATCATTTAAATAAATTGAAAGATTTAATTTTATTATAATGTAATTTTGCGCAGGACTTTTGGACGATGCGAAACTTTTCACAAACTGTTACATGAAGAGATGCTTACCAGATGGAACGAAACTTACTTGCTGCAAGAAATACTTAACAAATAATATAGTAAATGCAAATTAAAATATTCTAGACAGAAAAAAAACGCATTTTATATTAAATGTTGTTTCTATTGTCATACGAAAGAAAGCTGAAGTAAAATGTAACTCACAAGATTCAGCGAATCTTCCGTCGAAATTCACGAAACGGACGAAACAAAAAGTATGAAAAATTTATATTTTTAAACAATTCAAAAAGATAAACACAGTAGGCTGAAAGTTATAGCAACAAAAATGATACAACTATATTTCAAAATCATTTTTGCTGAGGAGGATTCCAAAGAGAATCGAAACGTTCAAAATAAAGAAAACATCAATCCAATATCTGATTATTGATTGTTCACTAAATAATTGCGCCGTTTATCGTTGCTGACTCTCATTAGCCTACTATATCTATCTTTTTGTATTGTTTAAAATTTAAGAGTCCTATTATAATTATTGTTATTGTTTATATTTTTAATTTACTTTTATATATTTAATTAAGTTTGTACATTTTCATGCTTTAAATTTTAATAAAAGTTCTGATAACAGATAGGTACAAATGAACATAGAAATAACATAAAAATCGAAGCAGATTACAAGACAAATGATATCAATAAAGTAAAACAATAGTTAGCAGAGTTAGTAAGTAGAAAACAAAATTAGAAAATGTCAGTCGATGAAAATTGTGTAAAAGTAGAAGCAATTAATGTTATGTTGTTAACGAAGTTAATATCAGAAGACACATGTAAAGAACAATAAAGATTAATGTTAAATTATATTCAAAAGTGTATTTGAACAGGTGAAATATAGCAACGTCACATAAAAAACTAAATAAAATGTGCTCACGTCAATAGCCCTTTTAATAACAGCGCACAGTGCCATGTATCCAGTGAATCCATCAACTTTCCATTCCGGCATATCCTTTAGAGACCAAAGTGCAAAATTCAATGTATTCAATACGAACAGCCAATCCGCCGCTCTTTTGTCATACTTTTTGGGATGAAATTCGGACGACAATCGCACGTAACTACGTGTTACTGCGTAAACATTTTTATTATTGTCATTGCGAGACAAATAAGTTATTACCTAAATAAACCGATTGAAATTTCATTTATAGTAATGTACTTGTTCTACAATTGCAAAAATCTGGGAGTTAAATTTACACAAAATTAGGTAACTTACACTAATTATCGATAACATTTATACAAAATTATGTAACTTATATATCGAAATATTTACAATCACTATTTACAATTTTCAAAGAAAGAATGAAAAAAAACCTCCGTTGCTAATTCTTTTATTTTCCGCATGTTGATAGACACATCTTGCGATTTAGTAGCGATATATCGCATTGTATCAATGTCTTGCTTCTCCTTTGACATAATGTTGCGTTTACTCCTTTTGGCTCTTTATTTCAAACTACTGTGATTATTTCGATCGCGGATATACTTCGACAAGTTTCACGATCACCTCGCGGTCACCTCGGCAAGCGTCACGATCGAAAATAAACATGACATGAAAATACAAATTTTTTATTATTTGTATTATTTCGAAATCAACCGAACGCTAAACTTTTATATAATATTGGGTCATCTAAAAAGTATCCGCGGTTTTTTGTCACTAGATGTGTGTTGATGGTCATATATCTAGTGATAAAGTACCGCGGACACTTTTTAGATGACCCAATATTTATCTATAATAATTTTATATTTATTTAAGAAAATTGTGGAGCATTAGAGATAAAATGCCGTATGGCTCCGTGCAAGAGCAACAATCTTATAATCGACGGATTTAAAATTTGATTTCTCATATCTCACATAAATTTTTGTAATTTATAAATTATATAAAGGAGATCTTACTGGCCTACTCAAGAATTGTGCGTGTAGTTGACAAACGCATCTATGGTCATTGCGCTAAGCTAAGGATTGTGTATAAACAGTAAATAATTCTCATAAAAAAATTATAAGGAAACTTCTCACCTTTAGGAAACTGAGAAAAATTAAGATTTGATTATTCTTTAAAATCGTAATGACATTACAGATTGCTGATTACAATTGCCAATTGATGGTTCTATTTTAGTAATGCAGTGAGCACGAAACTAGTTGTATTATAATTGACTAAAAATAGACTCGTCGACCGGAAACCACAATCGGTAATCTATAGTATGTAATTACAATTTAATGCCAGTGTCACACACATTGGAGATTGAAGATTGCGAATTAAATTTTAATCCGCTTTGTTCTAATTAGCTAAATTCTAATCCAATTCGCAATCTCCAACGCATAGTGTGATACCGACATATGGAAGACCAGCAAGCCTATGTAACTCTTAATGCAAAGGACTATGTCTAGTTTTATAGGAAAATTTGGGTCTCGGATGAACAACTTTGAGACATGCCTAAAATTTTAAGGTATTAAAAGAGAATCAAAAATTCCATAAGCCCAACTTTATGGGAGAGGTTTCCTGAGTGTTAGAACTATCAAAGTTCATTATTATGACCACTTATTATGTACTACTAATCTTATTCAATTTCTCTGCGTCCAGGATATCTTCCCGCAGTAACGGCGATGACGGATTGTATCGAACATTGAAATATCTAAAATGTATTTGGTACAGTTCATTAATCCGGTTGACAATTATATGGTATCTGGAACATGCTCAACACTTTGACGAAGACATGTGTCAGCAACAACAGTTTTTTTTTACTTTTAGAGAGTTCCGATGAGAAAGCTAAAGAGAGATAAGATCCATATATTGGTCACATTTCAATTAGGCAATTAAAATCTTTTGTTTCATACTTTGAGTATCTCTCTCCTCTCTTCATCGATTAATATATATCACTTATAACTATTCATTTGGGGTTCAAAAAAGGTTTTAGTTATCTTTGTCAAGATTGGACATATTCCAGATATTAGATGATTCGAGAAATCGAATAAAACCAGTCCTACATAGTACATAATGTATAATATGATCATAATAGCGAACTTTAAACAGCTGTAGCCCTCAAGAGACTCATTTTACAAAGTTGTGCATATGAAACTTTTTAACCTTTTTTTTATGCTCTATAATTCTAGCTAGATCTCAATACTGTTCAGCCGGAGCCCAAACTGAGCATAGTCCTTTCGTTGTCATAACGCTGCTGCGCAGCTCTGATTCACCATGGTAAAAAAAAGCTGCGCAACGACGTTATAATGATAACGAAATTTTTACAGAATAAATCTATAGGACTTGGATTGTAACGCTATTGAATGGATTAGTCTTGGCAAGAGTAACTTTAAATTTTTATTATAAATATTTCGGACACTAGACCAACTGTGGTGTTGTGAACAGATCGTAGAAATAATAGCTTTGAAAGAAGCTAAATCAAGTATCGCCATTATTTTCGATCCAAAATAGGGTCTATTGTTTGACCTCCGCAAATTTGACCCCATCCGATTAAACGCCAATGCTTTTCCACTCGTCTGGATAACGCAATCTTCTCATCAATCTCAGTGCACACTGGATTCGTCAAGCTGATCTTTGCCAAATCAGCACGAGTAGCCAGTACTCTGCCACCGGTGCTTAACGATCCAATGTTAACAAGCAGTACCTCTCCTCTTGATAACTTCGGTACCTATCATCGAGATATTTACAGAAACATTAAATAAATTAAGATCTTTTTTATTACAGAATAAAAGCATAATTTCAGGAAAAAACAAAACTAGATATTAAAAAAATATAAATAATAAAGGAGGATGTTAAAAAAGTGTCAGTTTTCGCCCACCAAGATACACCTTGGCAGACTTGACGTCTGAACACATCTTGAAAAATCATTATTTGGGTCCTCAAAAAACAGGAAATAATAATCATTTGGGAAACGGTAACATTGCTAGAATTGCTTAAATATAGTAAAAAATGACATCATTTACATATATGATTAATAAGTAAAAAATTATGATTTTAGCCAGAAACATAAGTATGTACATCTAAAGATTATGAACTACTTTAGTACTATTCAAGATGCATCACGTGGAGATATAGTCCGCCTAGCATCTCTTGACAGAGAATAGAACTTCACTTTTTAGGCTTTCACGGGTATTATCTTCGAAGATATCAGAAAGTTTGCGGATTATCGCTGTGTTTTCATCCATTGCTAATGCCAACGTTTTGTGAACTTGCATTCTATATATAAAATATTTTTTATATTTACTGGTAAAACAAAAAAAGAAACGATGCTATTATTGGTATACCTCTGGGTGTAAGGTAGGTCAACATGTTGTAAGATGTTCTCACGTTGCAATACTCGTGTGATTTTTTTTTGTAAAGCTTGATTTCAAGAAAACATCTCGATTCGTGCTCCATTCTTCGATAGTTATTTTGAGAAAAAGTCATTATTAGTATCATCAGATTCTGATGAAAATGCACATGAAATGTAAATTCACTCACACTTTATCCGTATCACGCACTCACACATAGAGAAGATTTGGAAATACCGTAGGAGTGACGAACTGTGGAATCCTGATTTCTGTCAAGGAATACTAAGCAGATTGTATTCCTATGTGATACATCCTGGATAAAATATTCGCATCTTTATATGAAGAATATACTTTCTAATTAAAATCACAATTTTTCACTTATTAACTGTATATAAATAATATCATTTTTTTAAATATATTTAAGCAATTCCAGCAATGTTCCCACTTTCCGAACAAATGATTATTATGTTATTTCCGGTTTTCTGAGGACCCAAACAATATTTCAAGATTTATTCAGGTGTATCTCGGGGGGCGAAACTGGACTTTTTTAACATTCTCCTTTACACAATGTTTGCATACAATACCAAAACTACAGCTAGTGTTTCGATTTCGTCTCAACGAAACACTATTTATGTCTCGGTCTGATTTCGAAATTCTCGATATCGTCTCGATCTCGGTCTCGAGTCGAGAGTGTCGTTGGTTTCAAATCGAAAATTTTTTTTACGAATTATATTGTTATTACGGACAAATGAATAAACGTGCATCCAGACAATCGATCTAAACCTTGAGCCGTTCGATAAACATTTGTTCGCCGAAAGTTATTGACTCGCGGCTCGATAATCTGAACGCACCTTAAAACAATTGATATTCGCGGACAATTTCTTCGTTCAGGTTTCATGATTGACCTAATCTTCTCAGTCTTGAGAAGTAATTTCGATAATAATTCAGTCTCGGTCTCGATTTCAAAACAGAGTTTTGGTCTCGTCTCGATAGACCCGGAACGACGAGATGAGACCGGGGCCAGTCTCGATATCGTCCGAAATACTAGCTACAGTGGCGTCAGCATATGAAAATAAGTAAAAAATATCTAATAAACATAAGCTCGACTCTGAACGATTTCGAAGTTACGGGATAAAGTAAGAAAACGTGAATCATAATTGTAATCGTAATTGTTGTTTAATGTTCGTTGATGTTCGTTTAATGTTCTAAATCCTGAATCTTTTTCTGAGATTAAATTTTTATTAATCAGTATGTGTACCGAAGATCGCACATGCAGCGAGAATTCACTATCAATGTGTGGACTGGAATCCTTGCTGATCTATAATTGCCTCCTCGTTTGACAGAAGACGCTTACTTTCACTTTTTGAGCGATGATCTACTAGTGCTGTTGGAGGATGTAGATCTAACGCGAAAAAATATGTGTTTCATGCACGACAGGGCACCATCACATTTCGTGTGCGAACATTTCTCCATGATCACTATCCTCATTAGATTGAGAGAAGCCAGGATGCATTAAATGGCCAGCGAGAAATCTCGACCTCACACCACTGGATTTTTTTTTCTTTGAATGAAAGATCTAATCTACCAGAATAAGATTCAGAATGCAGAACAATTATGATACTGATACTTAACGCTGCCGATATCTCCGCAAAACTCCAAATATTTGTTGTCGGTCGAAAACAATTTATTAATTCGTGTTATAAAGTGTGTCGACGGAGGAATTTTTGAACATTTTTTGTAAAGCATTAAATAGAATAACGAACATTAAATAAGTTTACTATTCATGTTTTCTTACTTCAATTTAAACATTTTTGACTTGTTTCCATGTGCTAAAGCCGCTGTAGCAGGTTTGGCACTATATGCAGAGACATCCTATATATCAGAAAATAAATCATCATATAAAATATTTATATATCTGTAATGTTTATAAGAATGCTAGTTAAGAGCAATCTTAAAGCTGTTACAGAAAACGCATATTAATTTGAATGTGATAATGCAAATGCAGAATGAAAATACTCACCCTCGCACCCTTTTTATCGCCCTCGGTCCTCACTCCTAATAAACGTTTCAATAAATAATATGAAATTTCCAGCTCGATGAATATTTGTGGCAATGCACCGACACTTCCAAGAATTTGCCCAACTAAACGATCAGCACGGCATAGAGTAGGCTCGATTTTGGTTCCAACACCTTAAAAAAAAATCACATAATCTATTACTCTTACAAAACGATCAGAACTTATTACGACTCTGTTCATATTAGAGCGATTAATAACAAACATTTGAGAAATTTATTTATCAATTATATTATTATAAAATTTTAATAATTATTTACCAATTAGACCAC